ACGTGATTACCGAATGTTTCGCCTGGGATAAATTCAGGCCTAGTTTTGTCTGCTGTTTCAAGAAGAGCTTGCTGTCACGTGCCTAAACTATCAGAGGGCCGGATCTGGACATACTCCATAAGGGCTTTCAGATTCTCCTGCGGAATGTTGCGGCCATGAGACAGCATCAATGAGTTTGTGCATTCCATATTTGTAGTTGCATTTGTAGTTAACCAATTTTCTCGCACTCACTGGATTTGTTGTAGCACAGGTGAGTGATTGGCAGAATTCGTCAGTCTAGTTTGTAGAGGGGCAGAAGACGGACTTCTCAAGACGCCCTCCCGCCAGTGCGGGCAACTAGTATGCCCAATATCTTTAGTCAGTCTTTTAGAGCGCAGCTCTTAGGGGCCCGTTCCCGGCTTGAGCGGCGTCGGCGTAACCAAGGTCACCCCAAAATCACGTGACCCCCCCCCCCCCCCCCCCGAGGTCACGTGACCCCTCCCCCCGAGGTCACATGGCCCCCCTCCTTCAAGGTCACGTGACCCCCCGCCGAGGTCACGTGACCTCCCCGATGACGTCATCGTCACTGATGACGTCACCGGCATCCGCATCGTCATCATCATCATCATCACTGATGACGTCACCGGCATCGTCATCGTCATCATCACTGATGACGTCCCTGGCATCGTCATCGCCATCATCACTGATGACGTCATCAGTGACGTCACTGATGACGGCATCCGCATCGTCATCGTCATCATCACGGATGACGTCATCAGTGACGTCACTGATGACGTCATCGGAATCCGCATCGTCATCGTCACTGATGGCATCATCGGCATCGTCACGTGACGCCCCAAGGTCACGTGACCCCCCAGGTCACTTGACCCCCCCCCCCCCGTACCCTTCCCTCCTCCTCCTCAAGAGCTGCGCTCTAATTCGGTGTTACAGGGAGTTGTAAACGGCTTTCACTTTTTTTAACTTTTTCCCTTTTATACTCTTCATTTTACTCTAACAAATAATTACATATAGTTATAATATGAACGGATGTCTTACTGAAAGTCTACCAGTTAAGTCACATGTTTACCTTGGTCAGCCGGAGCTACAACCGTACCGAATAGCAGTGGAACAAGCTTGGTGGCTCAAATATTTCCACTTCATTGCGAATATAGATATAAATCTTCTCATATAATTTGCATCATTGTTCTTAACTTTCTACTACCTTTTGTAAAAAAAATAAAAAGGTAGTAGGAGCGATTACAAGTTTTTGTCCCCTTTCTGGGGAAAGAGTTCAGCTACAGCTCGTTGAGGTTGTAATTTTAAAAGGCAAAACAGGCTTATTGGTTAAATAAATACAAAGAAAAAGCAACGCAGGTATTGGTTAAATCAATAGAATACTGTAACTTGAGCCCAATACCCAAATACAGCACAAAAATATATCGTCATAATATACACGGAATCAAAAGATCATCTCGGTTTGTGGCCTTGGGCAGAAATGCCGGAATAGAAGACACTTTGCAGTGCTGTAACTTTGACAGAAACAAAATGATGAAACATGCTTTTTATGAATAAAGAAAGAGTATGTTGGAGAACTATCACTATGAATTTCAGGAAAATCGAAGATGGGTATTTTTTTCTAATTGCTCCTTGAAGTTTCTTAACTTTCTACTTTAGAACAAGCTTGGGGCACCATAAAAATTTCACTTTAAGATAAGGCAATGATTTATATGTCATTTGAAAGAATGTATTAATATGAATATATGACGTAAATTTTAATGTTGGAGTTATTCAATTTCTGATGATGACAGCTCAGAAATCCAGCGATGAAACGTCAAAGGAACCAAGTTTGCGGATTTTTTACGTGAGATATGTAACCTCCACAATGCTGTAAATATTTATATCAATGGCCCCCTACGATCTGTCAATTAAAAAATATTTGAGATTCCTGATACTTGTATTCTGTGTAGTATGTGTCACGAAACATGACAAAAACGAAAACCCCAAAAATCTAAAATGCTCTTCTGTTGCACTCAATTTTTTTTTTTTCTCTCTCTTTTGATTATGTTTTCCACACATGTTGAGGAGTAACATATAAAGAAAATTAACAAAAACAAAGATTATGTTTGAACTCGTGTGCATGATCTTATCTGAACAGAGCCTTATGTCTGCCTTTATAGACAAAGAAAAACATGGGCAAAACCTCTCTGAAATTGGTGTGGTGCTAAGTTAAACATAAATGTGCTTAACTTCCCCGATTATAATCATAAATTGTCCAAATTGAAGAGTGGAGTTGAAAAGTGCTACCACATTTTGGTAAAAAGTTTGTGTGCAGATCTTTGAACTTAAATAATGTGAGCACCCAAAATTCAGAAAAAGCACCACTGTTGAGGTAACTTCAGTGTGGTTTGGGGAGGCTGAGAAGTGCAGCCGAGATGGGCAGCAAGGTTCAGATGACTCGACCCGCAGCGACGGCGATGGTCCTGCATTCTGCATGTGGGGGCCATGTCATGTGCCTCAGTGGGATCGGGGCTCTAGCTAGCTACATATGGCATGACCCAGACGTTGCTTGCTCACATGCGGGAAAGGGAAAATGAGCTCCAAGACTAGGCTACTTGGCCTCTTGAATATTAATTTGGATAATCACTTTTACCTGGTAAAGTCTTCAAGTGTAACTGGCTTAACTCCTTCCCTGTTAAACATGCTGCATGTGTCCTTTACTGTTTTAAGGCCTTCTGGAAACACTCGATTTCCTCCTAATTTTATATATGGAGTCAGCGTTGTGGTCGCAAATTCTCCGAGTAAGATGAATCCCTGAAATAGCTCTCGGAGAAAAATTGTAGCTAGCTGTGTCGGGATGGCAATTATCCCATTGATGTTGGGGTGTAGAAAGGTTTTAGGACAGATCATATTTTGTGATTTCTTAATTTCACAGTTTGGCAGTGCAAACGGTTGTGTAATAAAATGTGGCAACTTGACAACTGCGAAAAATGCTGCCATATTGTTTTTACGCATATTGCAGCGGAGCTGTTAAGGGCTAGTTTTCCCAGGATAGTGTCCCCCGCAAAGAAATGAAGACACCAAACTCTGGACACCTACTGCCATCTATGAGTGACAGCGGCAAGCCACGTATCTGAATGCCGCCGTCGCTCATAGATGGCGGCAGCCTTTCCACTCTGGCTTGCCGACTTGCGGCCGGCCGTTACTTTTTATTGTACAGCTCCGCTGGTCTTCCTTCTTCACCAGAGTGGAAAGGCTGAACGTATTTTATTTTTTTTTTTTTTAAATTCTCGAGTCGGACAGTGATTTTAGTCTCCTCATGTTGAAAGTTAGCTGCTTCAAGCTCGCTCCAAGACAAGTTTTTCAGTGCCCAGTATTCCAGGCAAGAACTGCTTCACAGTGTTCAATCTTTGCCTTCCGTGCCAAACAAGATGCAAAAAATTATAAATTTTTTTTTTTATTTGAATTGTCACAGATTGTAGGTAGAGCCCTCCGCAAATAACAGTTTCATCATCCGTATCCTACCCACATCCGCAGACTTAAAGGTGCGCTAAAGACGTTTGATGACTCATTGTACGGGATCTTAGCATCCCAGAAATCAAAAAATTATGCACGTGCAACGTCTTTTTTCCTAAGATGTGCTCAGAAAGAAGGGAATTTTAATATATATTTTTATTTTTGCTTTGTGACCCCACTTCAAGCAGACATATTTTATAAACATGAAAATTAAGAAAGGACAGAGTAATAACGTTGTGTCATTTTATTAGTTCAAATAATAAAAAAAAGTGGGAGATGAAGGGCACTCACTCACTGCAGCAAGGTATTCGTGTATGTGTGGTAAGGTGCGAATACACCACTGGGGAAATTATCACAATATGAAATAAGGGCAACACCTCCTATCGGTTTCAGTTTTAAACATAAACCCTCAACTACATGTTTAGAACCATATACTTAAAAAAAGCTCAGTGCCAACTGTCAAGAGAACGAAAACGCACACACACGCAACGTTTCACTTGTCAAGGTTGCTGTGTAGAAGAAACAGAATATCGTCAACATTAATGGATTCAGACTGGTTTGCCTTTCTTAAATTAATATCCACTAATTAGAAGTCTCTCTCCATTGGTGCACTTGATGCTACTGGGATGGCATGCACGAACTGCGCTACAAGGATGAGGTGCGGAAACTCGTGCTGGCGCAAGTTCCATCACTCCAGAGGATTGAATTCAGTCTTCTCAATCTACTTGTAGGCAAAGAAGCAACTTGCAGGCTCTTTGCCCAAAGAACATTTTCCGCTCTTTCCCTGCCAAACAAGATTACGCTTTCTCGGGACGACTGATACTCCTGCATCTTTGACTTTTTCTAGGGATCGCATTTTTGGCAAGATAGAACATTCTAAAGCGGTCTGTGGTGAGAATAAAATCGTTCTTGACATAAAGAACAATTTTCTCTCCAGTTGGCATTTTCTTATCTAAAAGAGTAGTTTGCCCCCGCAATACATTCAATGATGCACTTCATAGTAGCACTCACTTATTCACTCTGTACTATGCAATCACACACATTAACGGGTCGCCCCAGCAAAAAATGTAGATCCGGACTCGCGGATATCCGCATCCGATCCGCATCCACAGCTCCTGGCGTCCGCATCCGATCCGCAATCTGCCAAATCTGATTAATTTTGATCCGCATACGCCATTTTCCTGCGGATATCCACGGATGATTCGCGGATATGCAGAGCTCTAAATTATAAGGCTAATACCGTCATAGTTTGGAGAAATCTTTTTACTCAAAAGACACCACAACGTGTTTGTCACAAGTTCAGAATGGAGGAATTATTGCTACAAGAAACGTAAACTAGCAATCCCCTAGTAACTGCTCGGCAGCTAAGAACTTATGGTGTACGTAATGGACCTCCTTGCTTGATGTTTGTTGTTTGTTTGTAACTGTCTGTTCCAGCTAAGTGCACTGCATACTTCAACTTGTTGAGTGTCTGGCGCCCTTTCTAAGCGGACGGTTGTCTCCTGCAGAGAGAGCTGGCCAAGCAGACGTTTGAGATTGTGAGCTTCTTTGTGCGTGCCCTGGAGGAGGCGGGCTACCCAAGTCTGCGAGGCTGCCTCTGCATCGGGGGCACCTCCGTCCGGGAACAGCTCGAAATAGTGCGCAGGTTAGTTCATCCAAAACCCTTGGGTTCACCAGCACAGCAGGCAAACATACAGTCAAACCCATTTATATTGAACAGCAGAAAACGCTACGATCAGTTCGATATAGCAAAAACCATTTACAACGAACTTCCACGCTGCGTTCGTTTTAAGGCGAGAGCTTCTCTTTCTTTCTCACCTCTTCGCTTTCACCTTGTAATAAAGTGCTGAAAAGAATTTTTTTTTTTTTTGCATGCGTGCAGAGTTAGTTCTTTTAGCTTATCTCCCCTTCTAAATCACTTCTCTTTGTGGACAACCGCTTTGGTATGAGTTTTTTTCATTTTTTCTGTGTGTGTGTGCAGAGTGTTTCTTTTTTAGCTTTCTCCCCTTCTGATTCACTTCTCTTTGTCAATTTCGTTCGCGGCTTGTGCTTTTTAAAATTTTCTTTCTTTACTACTACAACTACTTTTTTTTGGGGGGGGGGGGGGGGGGGACAGGTTAGAAGACGGTTGCTTGCGCGTTTTTTGAAGCCTTCTCAGGGGAAAAAAGTTTGATATAGCCAATATGTTGTTTGTTATAAAAAGTACTTTTTACATGCATTTTTATTTAAATTTTCCGTGAGTTCAATATCGACAATTATTAGCTCTACGGGGGTTTGTTCTAAACGGGTTTCACTGTAGCGACATTCTAAATGTCTGCTTGCTGGAACATTATCCGCTCCACCGCCAAAGCTGTTGCTACGATTTGGCTCGGTGCACACTATCAGTGTCGCCGTGCAAAAAGTCAGCCGGCAAAATGAGTTTGCAGTAATGCTACATGGAACTATTATCAACGCTCTGGGCAATTATTAGTTTTTTTTAGTTGTAGAAGGGCATAAACTGTAGGGGTGTGCAAATATTGCAAATTTTAAATACAAATCAAATGCTTTTAGTATTCAACTCGAAGAATTTCTACTCGGAACTTCACAAATATTCTGCTGTGGTTGAATATTCGGCACGGTAACGAATATTTCCCCAGAATATGTATAAGCATCACTTGGAGCATGCCGTGAGAGTGCTAAAAGCTTTGAGAAAATGTTTTTAGTATGCCAGCTTTGGAGAAAGAGAAAATGAATGAACATTCTGGAGAGTTTTGTAGCCTCCGAAACAGCACCAGCCACTGCACTTAACCGGCAACCTTGAGCAAAAAGCCCACCAACAACACGAGTCCGTAGGCGGCCGTGGCGAAGAAAACACAACGGGCACCGCTACTCTTGCTCACACTCCACTGCGCATACCATAAAATCTTGAGAGATGCCCCGCCCCCGAAAGGTAGGTAACCCAACCCTATTTTTGACTTGATTTGCTATTTTCTTTTAAACACAAAAAGAACTTTCTTCAAAAAGTTTGGCAAATAACGAACTTTTCAAAGAAAGTGCGGCAAAGATTCGGCAAATGTCTGCGCACGCGCAGGAACACGACGGGGCCATGGATTGCAAATGGATGCCGTGCAGTCCAGCGGTTACGGCGAGGTGTGGAGTAGACAACACGGTAACTGTGCGTTTGTGAGCGAGTGTGGTTTTCTTCTATATTTTCTGCCTCAAGAAGAGAAGATTGACCAATAATTTATGCAGTCCACTGCGCAAGTGACGAATTATGCGGTACATTCTGGATAACATGATTTTCATTTGACCTTTCCAGTGATGCAACGAGGTAGTTGGAACACTGACTGACAATTACTTTAAAGCGCTCCTCGCAATTATAACAATCCTGTTTTCGGCTCACAAGTAATGTGTGCAAAAACAAAATAATATTGCTTTTTCAATTAGCATTATTTCGCGATTTTCATGTATCTGCACAAAACTAAACACAGAACTATCATGCTTGACGTTGCACATCCGACATTCCTATCTCTTGCCTAAACCTAAACCTTCCTAAACGTCAGTGTGTGCCCTAACACCAGAAACCGGCATTTTAATGGTTTAAAATTAGACGTTGCGAATATACTCACACTTTCATGCAAAACTGGCATCAGGTGACTCAAATCGAAAAACCTGCATATTTACAACAATATTGTGATCTCTTCTGGTGAAGGCTCAGCAACCATTGCATTCGTTTTCGCGCACGAAACGGTGACCCCCAGAGAAAGCAAGAATGCAGTGTTATTGCCTTCATTTTTAATAATGTACAGACACTTGCAGGCTTGCACTGATGCCTCAAAACCGAAACTCTCGTAATGTGATTTGTGACTGTGCTCGCTAGAACCCAACCTCGTTGTCACACTACTTCTCTAAGCAGTTACTAAAATTGCCAGTAAAGACACAAAAACGACACCAATGCAGTTATCATGTAGAATGTCACAGTATTTAGTAGTAACTGTGTCTATATGCATTACATGTTGCATTTAAGTTACGAAAAAAACAATTTAAGACCTTTCTTCGCCAGGAAAAACTAAATATCAACGTTAAGTCTGGTAACAATGTATTTTTGCCAAATCTTTGCCGAATCTTCCGAAAAGTTTGGCAAAAGTTCGGCTTTGTCGAATCCTAAGATTCGGCGCCGAATTTTCGATTCGGCAAAAGTTCGGCCCATCACTAGTGATCAAAGTGTTCGGATCAATGATAACCTCGGCGTAAATGCATCTAGTTAGCTATGGTGGGTTTTAAGCGAACATTGCTGACTGGGAAGTGCAGTTATCTTGGCTTCATTGCTCCTCACCGCAATAACAAGTTTGGCAGGGACACATAATCTAAAAATAATTTTTTCAACTTTTCTCGATTGCCACGGAAAGTTAGCCCACTCCTTATTTTCATCCAATTTGTTCTCGATTTTAGGTGGGCTATCTCTCGGGATATTACGGTATGCGCGCACTTGGCCGTGGTCGGAGCTGCATAGGTGCCGGAGGCTATCTCTGTGCACAGACAGAATGCGGGAAGAAAAGGTGAGAGAAAAGCAGAAAAGGGGTAGGATGCATAAAAAAGGAAGTTACCGTATTTTCCAATCTATAGTCTGTGGACTATACATGTTTAAAAGTTGAAATTTTACCCGATGCGGACTATCTACATTCACTGTGACAAGACGTGAAGGATTTTGTGAATAACGGAGTATATTAATGTTAATTTATGAATGATACAAGCTTCTTTGTGGGCTAATACAGCAGGCATTTTTCAAGGTGTGCTGTGTATTAGTATAATTTTTACGTTTAGACTAGGCACTAAGGGCAGACTATGCACGGCGTGCGTATGATACATGTACAAAGAAAAAAAAGCATTTCAGAAGACATAGAAAGGTCAAGCACCCGTTAACAAACAAGCGGAATCTTTTTATGGACTTTTCATTTGAGTGAAGGAGGCTTATTAAAATGCAAGATCACAATTGAACGACTGGTGAGGGTGAATGAGATTGAACAAAACCTCGAGATTGAGGAAGGACAGGGCCCACCTTCTTAATGTCATACCTGCACAATCCGAAGCAACCTTCGGCTCTTTACTTCTCTAATGGACTCCGATTTTTATACATGGGGCAAAGTCAAAAAAAAAAAAAGAAATAAAAAAAAAAAGCTCAAGGTACACCTAAGCATTTCTTATGAGTTGTGAATGCGGAAGCATGCAAGCCGCTTGTCCGCTCTCTTTGTCGTCTGCTGCGTACTAGCGCGCGCGCGCTTCGAAATCTCGGAGGCCATGGCGCTGCGGCCAATGGGAGCCTTGTCGACGCGCGCCAGCCAATGGAACCGAAGGCGAAATCGCGGAAGCTATGGGCTGTTTTCACGCTTCAAACTGATGACGTCAGCTCACTCCATGAGGCAGTTAATGCTTTTGCATTAAAAGTAACTGCAATTTATTTATCATCAGCATAATAATAGAGACCGGGTTAAAAGTGATTTGTCACTTTTCAACAGAGTCCCCCCTGTATTCAGCACATGTGTGCCAACACTTGACCAATGCATGGATGCCACCGGAGATAAAAAATCTTGCTGCTGACTCTGAAGCCGGATGTGCACCGCTGCTTTCAGCTCATTTGTACGGAACTTCATTTCGCTGAGACTTGCTTTGAGGAGTCCGAACAAACGAAAATCATCCACCGGTGAGTATGGTGGATGCGGAATGCACTAAAGGCGTAGCCCTTGATTTTCTGCTGCTGTCACACGTGCCACGTGGGAATGCGCATTGTACTGAAGCAATACACCAGTGGTCAGAAGGATACAATGTGCTTTTGACACAGAGTTCCCTTGGCATGTAATGTTCGACTATTGGCCTTCTATGATCCCAGAAGATTGTGAGCATAAGCTTGCCAAGCGTCAGAACTTTGGTCTTGGTGACGAAGTGTGCCTCCACTCTTTGCTTGCCCACTTAGTCTCTGACTGGGCACAGTGGATCCAACATTCACCCTTGTTGACAGTGCGTCAAAGAAAATCCTCTCCCTCAGCTTCCTAGCATCATAGCAACATCTTGCCCTCATCCACATGATGCTCCTTAATATTTGGCATAAGTTGTTACAGCGGTAGCTGCTAGTGCCCCTTTTCGGCAAAAAATGCTCATGGACAAATGCAAAAACCCACCTTACATCGGAGACACTGCTCTCCCTTTCCGTCGTTCCTCACACACGGCAAGGCTCTCTCTCGCTTCCCCCTCCCCCTTTCCTCCCCCCCTGTAGGCCGCCACTGTTCCAAAAACACACGTAATTGTGGGGAAAACGCTCCCCCCCCCCCCCCCCCCCCCCCCCCCGCCAACCCCTCTGGTAGCCGCCGTTGCAATATACCCATGTGGTCACATTGTGCGGACACACTGCCTTGCCTCTCCACTGCCACCACCCAAAGTATGTACGCAAGCTGTTCTTTAAAGGCGCTTCGCGTCTACATTACACAGCTCACATACATACTTTCGCTTTTTTCACTGCAGGCACGGTCACGGGCGCCCCCGTTTTGAAAGAGTGTTTCAGGCAAAAGAAGAGCATGTCTCTGTGTCCTACTCCAACACATGCAACATTTCGCACAATCATTCCACCAAAGCACACGTCTGCTCACACACATCTCCTACATCAATTCCACTGTAAGCCAAGAACCCATTGCAAACATTGTACAGCACACTGGCCGAAGGCAAATCTCCTTCAACACACAAAGCAGCAGCTACCTATGTCAATCAGCACACTTTGTGTGGTCGTTTGCAATTTTTTGGGTATCCACCTGGTGGACACTTTACCACACTGCAGGAGATTGTGAATGATGTAGTACACCGAGCCATGACTAATGTAAAATTTTTCAACAACCTCACCAGTGATGACACGTTGGTTTGGTTTTCGTGTATGAGCAGTTCAACTTCTGTTACTGAGTGAGGCGTGATCGAAGTGTGAGCCCGGCTGGAGTGAGATACTCTACTCAGGCCTGACTGTCCACTTTGGAACTTGTTGTACGACTCGTATACCTGTTAAAGTGACATACAGGCACCTCCATACTGCTTCAAACTACTGCAATGCATATACAAGGACTTTTCGCCCTTTGCACCCAAAAACCGGATTACCGAGTGGTTCCTCCCTGGTACTTGCTTCCAAGGGGGCGGTTATTCTGAGAGTGATGTGGTCACGTGACATTTCCCATCAGGCCACTGGGCTGGCATGCACAGCCCCCTCTGGTCGAGGGCCAAACAATATTTTAAACGCAGTAGTCTGTCGTGGCATTTCAATCTCTTAAAACTAAATTGCAGTTACTTTCTGACCCTGCCTCTTAGTATGTTATTTTTATTCATTTCCTAAGACTTCCAGTTAACGAGGGTACTTAGTTTGAGGTTCGCCTAAACCTGCATTGTTGCATCGAGGTTTGGTGACCAACTGGTAAATGTTCGGGTTTAGTCGAGTGCAGGGACGATTTACCAGGTAAAACAATTTCTCCAGCTATGTTGGTACCAATTTTGAAAAAGTGTTAATTTACAAGAAAACGTCTTGCAAGTGGTCATAGTTTTTAGTTCTCTCAAATGCTGTTTTGGGGAAGAGCCCAATAAATAGTGCCTCGCAGTGCCTGCTCTTCTCAGTACATTGCAAAATTATGTTATAAGGTTAGTAATCATTTTCCCACTGACATTTATTAACCTTTTTTTTTTCAAAATTAAACTGTGGTTGGTCGTTCAGTGTGGTCTTAGGCCAACTATTGGTTCTTTTTAAATTTTTTTGTGCTACAGTGAAACCCGTTTAGAACGAACCCACGTACAGCGAATTATTGAACTCACAAAAAATTTAAATAAAAATGCAGGTAAAGAGTACTTTGTATAACAAACAACCTATTGGCTATATCTAGGGTTCGGAGTTTTCGGTTTAAACCGATAAAAACCGATAAAAGTACGCCGAATCCATTTTCGGAAATTCGGTTTTAACCGAAAAAGGTCAGTTTTTAGGTTCGACATTTTTTTATTAAAACGGATAAAAGTACGTCGAATCAATTTTCTAAAATTCAGTTTTAACCGGAAAAGGACACTTTGACCTTCCAGTCGTACAGCAGAGCAGTGGCGAAAACGTGGAACGACATTGTCTATCGAAACGTTTCCAAATGTATGGGATACACGGATGCCATCTCGACGTTTTGGTTTAATGAGGGCAACATCGATCGGAACGTGAAGTCCGAAATGCCCCATAACTTCACCATGTACGAGCGTGTTCTTGAACTCGTTGTAAGGAAGACTGACTTGATGCAATCTCTGCATGCTGTGTTGAGCTTCACAAAGTCGCACCGTCTCTCTTTTGGCGGTCACAATTGGTTGATTGGCCGATTTTGGCTCAAGCAGCGCTTCCTCTCCTCAGCCTGCCAGTGCCCAGTATTAGTGTTGAGGGGGCATTCTCGAAGCTTAGGGCCATAACAACAGGAAAGAAAGGGTGCGGATCAACGAGGAGAACCTGGGAACGTACATCTGGGTGTACTATTATAAGCTAACGTAATCCTGATGTACAGAAAGCGAAGTTCTATGCTTTTCGGGTATAGGCTTCATATCTGACTTGTTCGTGCTTCTCAGGTTTTTCCTTGTTTCTTTTAGAGCTGCACACATTTGCCAAATAAAGTGTCAATTCTTTTTCAATGTACCTGTGCCGTTATTCTTTGAGTGATCACAAATATCATAGCTACAAGGATCATCCGATCCGGTGTCCGTTGGTGTTTATTTTATATTCACCGAAAAAAGCCGATAAACTTTTGTGGGCATAAATATACGCCGAAAAAAACCGAAAATTGAATTTTAAAATAAACACCGAAAAAAGTACGCCGAATTTTGAAAAAATAGAAACCGAAAACGCAGAACCCTAGCTATATCGAACTTTTTCCCCCTGGGAAGGCTTCCAAAAACGTGCAAATATTTGTCTTCTAGCCTGTTCCTTTCACCAAAAAAAAAAAATAGGAAAGAAAGAAAATTCCAAAGGCTCAAGTTGCGAACAAAATTGAGCGAAGAGAAGCGAATCTGAAGGGGGAGAAAGCTAGAAAATACTCTCTGCACGCACGCACAGCAGAAAAAAAACAAAAAACTTTTCATCCCAAAATTGTTGCCGAAAAGAAGCGATTCAGAAGGGGAGATAAGCTAAAGACAAACTCTGCACGTATGCGAAAAAAAAAAAAAAAATCTTTCCAGCGCGTTGTTACAAGGCGGAAGCGAAGAGATGAGAAAGGAAAAGAAGTTCTCACCTTACAACAAACGCATCGTGGAAGTTCATTATAAATAGTTTTTGCTATATCGAATTACTTGCTATATCGAACTGATTGTGGCGTTTCCTGCTGTTCATTATAAACGGGTTTGACTGTATGTCATTTTGGGATGGGTTTGAACTCTAGCTATCATACGATATTAGCTCCCAAGATATAAAAGTTGTACATAATGTTCTTTTAAATTTTAGCTGGTTTCTTATTTTGTGCATATTTGAGATGATATACAGTAAAATCCTGAGCAAATACCCACTCAATATTTCGATATAAACGTGTAAAACTGGGGGGATGGGCGCTCCTTAGGTCAGCATATGTAAGGATATGTTTTTGTGTATTTTCCGGATGTTTCAAAATCGAGAGTTGGGCATTTATTATGGAATGGGGAGGTGCTCGGTATTTTATGGTAATTCTGTTTGAAGACACTTCCCTTATTTATATTCTATTTTTATCCTAAAATTTTTATATTTGCAGGTCCCTGATAAATTTTCTTGTTTTCTTTTTTTTTTTAGTACTAATACCCCCTGCAGTAGTATTAGTTGTTGTGCGATGTGTAGGTATTCAGTAGGCATATTAGTGAAGTGAATCCATAACCCCATAGTCAAAGATGCATGGTAGGAAGATGGCAAGATGTAGATTGTGTCCGCATCCTTCAATATGTTACCAGTCACAAAACTTTGGCCAAAGTTTGGTACAGGGTCAAAAGCTGTTGGTTGGTGCTATACTGTTGTCAAGAAGGCATTCTCATTTGGCCACTCCACTCTAAGTGAGGCACTCTAAATTTAAAAATACAAATAATTTTTAAAAATATTCTCATACATTGACATTTTGTTACTTCTGTAATTGATTACTGTATGCAAGCATTGGCCATTCTTTATTGATCTCTAATAATAAAGCTTACGATTAAGCGTTTTTTGTTTGCTTTCAAACAGAATGATGCTTTTGCAAGACACTCTACTTTTACTATTTCTAAGTATAGGCTCTGCAACTTGTCAGATGGTTGTTGAAATGCTTCATCTAGGGCAGCACCTCCAAGAGCAGATCACTTGCTGATGTTGCAGAGTGGCAGGCAACATTAGGCAAAGAGCTTCTTCAAATGCACTCAAGAAAGAGAAACACACTTGGTTTTGCTATTGGTCCATTAGGTTTCTGTTTCTTCATTTTTGCTTGTGAAACACAACCGACTGTCACGTAGTGTACTGCCTAGAAAAAGACGTCTTATGACAGGTCAAGAGTTCAGATGGTTCCTTAATGTTTCAGGGGAGTGCATGTGATGGTGGCCACTCCGGGCCGCCTCATGGACATGCTGGACAAGAAGATGGTCAACTTGGACATGTGTCGCTACCTGTGCCTGGACGAGGCCGACCGCATGATTGACATGGGCTTCGAGGAGGACGTCCGTACCATCTTCTCTTTCTTCAAGGTGAGCGTAACATCTGGGGCCATTGAATGCTTTCAGAGTACCAAACCTCTCGAGTTTCTAATTGAAACACGACTGTGAAGCGACTGCTGGTGACTCAAAAAGTTTCTGACATGCTTGTAAGGGAACAACATATGGCTTCTAAGATGCACGTTTTCAGGGAGAATTAACTGCCAGTCCAACGTAGCTCTTAGTCGTATCAAATTGATTTCTCTCTTTTTCGATGGTCCTGTAAGATGCGGGAGGTTTGTGCCATAAATTCTCTCGGATGCCAATGCCACCAGCGCTGCTCAGCTACCGGTGCCTCCAGTCGGCTCCATTTTTTTTCTTCCAGAACGTAGCGCAGATTACCCTATTTACCCAATTCTAACGTGCATCCAGTTTTTATGCCAATAAATAATGATTGTAACGTGCCCCTGATTTAAGTTTCGTATCCGGTCCCACCACAAGAGCAGTTTTTAGGTATATTTTAATGAAAAAAGGTGTTCATTAGAATCGGGTAAGTATGGTTATAACGCTGGCCATATTTGCCCAGTGGACAGAATTTTAATGGAGAGTCTCCCCGTCTCCATTGAGTGCAGCATGCGGTGTTTGTGGCACACAGGGCCAGCGGCAGACGCTGCTCTTCTCGGCCACCATGCCTAAGAAGATCCAGAACTTTGCCCGCAGCGCCCTGGTCAAGCCGATCACGGTGAACGTGGGCCGGGCGGGCGCTGCCAGCCTGGACGTGGTGCAGGAGGTGGAGTATGTCAAGCAGGAGGCCAAGATTGTGCACCTCCTCGAAACGCTGCAGAAGACGGCCCCTCCGGTGAGGGCACACCTCGTAGCCCCAGGTTTTTTTGGAAGCCTGGTAATATGCTGCCATTCAGATCCCAAAGGTTCTGAATGAGAGCTTCTGGATTAGCCGTGTTGTTTCCCAAATCACTGCGGAGAGTGTCGTTGAAATGCAATAGCATTTTGCTCTGTCCTGTACTGAGTAAACTTGATTAAACTCTAGGAACGGCTGTGGAAATTCTAGGAATATTTTTCATCGACGTCCAAGAAGTCTTTTATTACATTTACAACCAATTCAAAGACAATTCAAAGAATTTTCTGAACTAACTGCCTACTTCCCGTGGATGTACCTCCTGCGGAAATTTGTTTGGTGGTGTCGTATCAAGCCGGGTGTGTTGAATGGTGTCTGCATTGGCCGTCTCTGGGCTCCTCTCAATGCACTAGAGCGAAACCGTATCTGACCTTGATCGCATTTTGTTTTATTCATAGAAACAGGGTGTGCATGCTAATACTTTGGATTTCTTTGAGAATTCTTTGAGCGTGTTTGTTAAATTAACTCTTTGAAAGAGGAAGTCAGAAGCTTTTTCAGTGCACTTTTAAAGACTGGAATGCATCAAATAAATTGATAGGCAGCAGTCACCTGTTGTCAACGTCTCTGCTTAGCTTCTCTTAGCGCTTGAAATGGGTCCTTTGCCGTCTTTGTGGAGCACGCTTCTGGCATTGTACTATTGGGTACAAATGAAATGTGAACAATGGACCATGTGGTCTACGATACATGCTGCGCTACCTAGAGCCAACTAGGAACTGATAAAACTGAGCGGGGGAAAGGGTGCTGCGAGGGTGCCCGCCTACTTACCCTCGTAGCCCCTCTCTCCACTCCATAGTTTTATCAGTTCCTAGTTGCCTCTAGATTGTGCAGCATGTATCATAGGCTATGCTGTTCGCATTCCATTCATACCCAATGGTACATTCAAGTGGCACAGGTCTGTGAACCAAATGCATTTTTGTTGGCAGGTACTCATCTTCGCCGAGAAAAAGCAAGACGTGGATGCTATTCACGAGTACCTTCTGCTCAAAGGAGTGGAGGCTGTGGCTATCCACGGGGGAAAAGGTAAGCACTAGTGATGGCTTTTACAGCGAAGCTGTATATGACTCGTTGGTCAAGTTTTTTTTGTGTGTTTATCGACAGAAAACCATTGTGTGTGCCTTATCATTGTTTGTGTGCACCTTATCATCAATCGTGTGGTTTTGACACTTGTTTCAATAAGAAAACCACATCACAAGTGTCAAAACCACATGATAGATGATAAGGCACGACCGAATAATGATAAGCACGTACCGCTCTCCGCATGCATTTCTCGGTAAATATTGTGGTCGCATAAGCTGCCGTGTTGACGGCAGAGTATGAAGTGTGGAGTGACGTAACTAGCCCCGCTAACAATGCGAAGCACGTAGCATTCCCCGCATACATTTCCAAGTCACTGAGCCGCATCTTGAAGCTTCTATTGGAATTCAAGCTGTTTTCAAGCCGTACTGAACAATAGCGAACAGCATCTTCAAGCTGAAGGAACCCTCCACTGCGAACATCGAAAGAGGCATTATCTACGAGATCCCGTGCAAAGACTGCAGGGCTTCCTACATAGCCGAAACCGGATGCAAGGGAGACTCGATTGAAAGAGCACAACCATGACGTCATTTATGCAATGCACCCGACCCGCCTCAAAACTGGACTGGTCGGCCACACCTGGACAATGGGCCACTTTGACTTTACGACTGCAACGACCTTGGCAAGCGAGGAGAGGTGGTGTCCACGGCAGCTTTTGGAATCCTGGCTGTCCGCAGGGATATCTCAACTTGCAACAAAAGCTCTGGCCCCCTCCCCAAAGCTTGTACGCACATTCCGTATAAATAGCCCCGTGTTGAGATAGACCAGGGGTGGCCAAGCTGCGGCTCTTCGCGTGTTAGAGTGCGGCTCACGGCTCCCTCCCCTACCCCCTCTTCCTTCCCCCGTCTCCCTTCCAGTCACATGAGCACTTCCCCAAAAAAACAAATGGAATGCGTTTTAAATCGAAAGACAGGTTGCAGTTTGGTAGTCTTGTGCTACTGCTACCTTACATACAATTGGACTGCTTTTTACTTGGATGGATTGAAAGTAGTTCGAGTTTCGTTTATTGCTCTGGACAAAAGTTTGCACCCCCCCCCCCCCCCCCCCCTGCGGCTCTTGGAAGTTTCGTGCTTTTGTTTGCGGCTCTTAGGCCGGGTCAGCCTGGCCACCCCTGAGATAGACCCTCGCATTTGCTGCGCACACACTGGTGGTGCTTCCCACAGGGTAGGCGAAACGTTTGATAAATTTTTAAGTTTGGTCATGTTGGTGTGCTGATTTTAGTCACAAATATGGTTAATTATATTGAGTATTAGACTATTAGTAATTAGTTTGATGGGTATATTAATAATCATCTCTTAAAAATTAGTGCACGGCTCTTTGCAGTTGTCAGTCCAACTTTATTGACATAACTTTTGGATTTTCAGGGGCTTTGTGTTGGGTCTACTGCTGTTTGATTTAAATATAGTAAGTGATATTAAAACATATGTTTTCTCTACCAGATGATTGTTTGCTGACAATAAATTTTTGTATAGAGCAGTTGGCAATGATGAGCTTGTGACATTTTTCAAAGGGATCTTGAAGCTGTATTTTCCTGGTACCAAGAGTAGTCAGTAGTTATGGAGTTTCAAAGCATGGTGCTGGTCACCTTCATGAGAAAATTCTAGCTTTATCTGCTGACCCAAGGCAGCATACCTGCTGTTCTGTCTTTCTTGAGCCCTTACGGTCAGTGCGCGCGGATGCCATTTAAGAAAGGGCCATCCACTGGAGCGTTGCTCACCACAGTGGGCGGCACCTATTGCAGACCAAGAGGAGCGGTCACGAGCAGTCGATGCCTTTCGGCGAGCTGAAAAAGATGTCTTGGTGGCTACAGACGTTGCGTCCAAAGGCCTCGACTTCGAGAACATCCAGCACGTCATTAACTATGACATGCCCGAGGATATTGAGAACTACGGTGAGATTCTGCGTGAGAGTTGATTGTCTTGTTTAAAAGGGACAAGAGAAGGTTTAGACTTGGAAACTTGGCACATTGATGCTAAGGTTTCAATTAGTTTCTTTTCTGATATTGTTTGGCGTAGGACTTGCCTTTTCTCTTGAGGAAGGTAAAAGAGAATGAGAGTCTGCTGCCTCTTAGCTAGTAGTTCGCTTCACATTAAATGCGAGGATAGCAGACGCTACAAGAGCGAGCTTTAGGCTTTCAACGTCCTTGCCGAGCATGTATGCTTGTGCATTGCAAGCATTGTTTAGGGCAACATGTTTGTGCTTGTAGCTTCAGCTTTGCTCACAGACTATTGGCAAGGAGATTATACTATGGGGGTTGCTCTGTCTAGCTTGTTTTCCCCAGAGCTTGGGCTCGGTGTTTACTTAACACAGGGCCTGTGGACTTTATTCTATACGTAACATAAAAAGTGTTGACAATAAACGGAGTGACGTTGGCAGGACGGCAACATGCCAGATCTCTCCCGATAGTAGTCATCAGAGGATAACAGCTTGACCCATTTTGGCCCTTGTGCTGAGCAAGTGCTGGACAGGTGCACAGTGCATGCTGCATTGTTAATGCCAGCCGCAGTGGCTACAAAGAGCCCCCCTTCGGGCGACGGGAGAACACAAATGCTGGGGACACGTGTTCGGAGCTGCTTGGGGTGCAGCGGTTATATCTCCTCCCCAATAGCACATCATGCTATAACTAGGGCTCCATTTTTTTGGATAAATTTGAAAAAATCCAAAAAAATCGCTGGTAAATTTCCTATTAATTCGGATTTATCTCGTCAATTCGGATTTATGCGAAAAACTAAATTTTGATGTCACAACGACAAAATATAAAAGCAAAAAAAGACTGTGTTTTACAAATAAACTATAAGGGCACAGAGTCAGTGGTCGTGGGGAGATGCCACTGTATAGTTTCCTTTGAAATCTTGAACTGCTGACAAAAGGGATTTGCCTTTTAGCTCGTCAAGGTTCCTTCAGGACAACGGATTATGGTACCCAAACTTAATTTACGGAATATTGTTTTTGTAATTTTTAAAAATTGGGATTACAGTTAAATAAACTAAATTTCTGAGAATTGGGAATCTAACAAAAATCTCCGATAAACCCCGAATTTTCAGCGAAAAATTGACTCCAACAAACGCCCTCTGAATTTCACAAAAAATAATCTTCGAAAACACAAAATCCTAGCTATAACACACCATGCTAGCTGCAACACCAACCTTACGTTTGGCATGCTTTGTATATGCTCTCAAAACCTCGCTGCTGTATTTTTTTGTTTCTTTGTTATTTTTTCATTGTATCGTCATCTTCTCCTTCAAAGGACTTACTTGTTGTGTAGTGTAGTGTCTGAATAAAACATAGAAAGAAAATTACTAGGTTACAGTTGAACCTTAATTTAACGAAACCCGATTTTACGAGTTTCCCGATTTAACGAACAAATTCGGATTCCCCGCGCAGCCTATCCCGAAGAATGTCTTTCTCGACTTTACGAAGTTCCCGATTTAACGAAATAATTAGGGGGTCCCGGTGACTTCGCTAAATCGAGGTTCAACTGTATATGAAACACTTTCTTGGGATTCTTGTATCCTGCCTCAGTCTTTCATGCTGGAGCATTTCAAATCCAAGTTGTCCCAACTCTATCAGAAACCTCACAAAAGAGAATAAAAATACTAGCTGCGTTTTATGTACTTACACCTCTTGCACCAGTGCAGAAAAGTGTAGGGTAGTCTACTTCTGGTATGTGTATTCAGATACGACCGGAAGTACACCTCCCTATACTTTCCTGCACCGGTGCGTAAGTAAATCAAACACGGCTATTGTGTTTCCATACTGAAAGACTGGCAAAGTTACCCTTTAATCTTCAGACAGTTAGTGATGGCTTGGGGCTTTCAATGTGTACAATGATTGTGAATATTTTCTTAGAGTAATAAAAGCTAATGAAAGTAGTTGCTGTAATGACTTGGAGGCAAAGCACTGGCATTCAAATCCCAACTGAGATGCCTGAAATTCATAGAGGCTTGATGAGTTGTAAGCACCGTGTAATTGAGATTTTGGTTGAAAAACCCATGGATTAGACCTAAGTGACCTGAATCATGGTTTCTCAAACTGGGTTCCTAGGAATCTAAATTTTTGTCTAGGGTGCACTCAGGGGCTCCCCAAATTAAGCTCCCAAATTTCCTCGGCTGTCCCTGCCCCTAGCTAAAGTGTTCTATCAGTATCAAGACAAGTACATCTTAAAAGTACTTGAAGTAAAGTACAATGTAAATTAGGTTATGTACTTCAAATAAAGTACCGTAGTAAGTACACCGGGCACAATGTACTTAAAGGGGCACTGACACCCAAAAGGTTCTATTTTTTTTTTTGTCGTCTTAAACTGTTGTGTCCAAGAGTAGACACACGGAACGACGAGGAAGAAAAGAGCTCAATCTGACCGACGCGAGCCAGTGAGCCAGCTGAACGCTGTCGTCTGCCGATACCGGAATCATCCTGATTGTAAATAGTTGTTCTATGTGTACTAAAGGTTTATTCGTAACGACTACAATTACTCCATGGCCTTAGAAACACAACAAAGTGGCGACGAGAGTGGGATCGGCAGACTGTAACGTATCAATATCGGCAGACGGTATAGGCAGACGCTACCGTCTGGCGATACCGAAATCACCCTGATTGTAAATAGTTGTTCTATGTGTACTAAAGGTTTATTCGTAACGACTATGATTACTTCATGGCCTTAGAAACACAACAAAGTGGCAACGAGGAGTCAACCTAGACCTGATCTACCAAGGCAAGAATCGACCGAAGCAGGTACTGTGCATCATGGACGACCTATCGCGTTCGATTGGACCTTATGAGGAAGGGACAAGCTGGGATGAATACGAGGAACGCCTTCAGGAGTGTTTCGAGTTGCAAAAAGAGAAAATCAAGACCGATTGGATGAAAGTATCTGTCTTGATCACTGCCATCGGACAGAAAACTTACTCCAGACTTCGGGATCTGTCGTCTCCTGAGCAACCGAGCAAGAGGACTTATGAAGAGCTCGTACAACTCCTTAGTCGATTCTATTCACCAAAGCGGTTAGTGATAGCCGAATGCTTCAAATTTGGAAAGCGGGATCAAAGATCAGGTGAACCCTCAGCCACGTATCTGGCAGAACTAAGACGGCTGGCGGAGACCTGTCAATTTGGAGACAAACTCGAGGAGCAACTGTGCGACCGATATGTTTGTGGTCTCAACCACACAATGGCCCAGAAGCAGTGCCTAACAATTGAAAATCTGACTCTGACGCGAGCTGTGGAATTGGTAGCGGGATTGGAAGTGGCTGAGGATCAGATGAAAATTCTCAAGGATGCGCGCCACCGCTGAAGACGAAGTGAAACAACTAGCAAGCACAAGCGCTGCCTGCTGGCGTTGTCTCAAAACCAACCATACTCCTCAAAATTGCCGCTACAAAGGCTACGACTGTGACGCATGTGGACAAAAGGGTCACCTGCGGAAAGCCTGCCAAAACAGCAGCGTGAAACAAAGAGGAGGGAAATTTTCAAATCTGCATGGAAAAGGCAAACGCAAGGGACCAGCCAAGAAAGGAAAGGGAGTGGTGCAACAGCTGAAAGAAGAAGAGAGAGCGGAAGAATATTTAGTCCTGTGGACAAATGCGGAATTATTGACTGTACCACCCCTCAAGAAAAGCGTCTTTATTAATGATGTGACTTTGGAGATAGAGGTGGACACCGGAGCTACGGTGACAGTGATTCCAAAGCGGCTGCAAGGAAAACTGAAGATTCGCACGCTGGAGCCTTTCAGGACCAAGCTTCGCACTTGCTCAGGACAAAGCTTGAACGTCTGTGGTACTACGGATGTCCATGTCACAAGCAACCAGAAGACCTGGACGCTGCCACTAGTCGTGGTGAATGCAGAGGTGCCACCACTGTTGGGAAGAAATTGGATACAAGTCCTGGACGAGACATGGATGCCAGCACTCCAGGTGAATACTGTGAAAGGTGCGCATTGCTTAGAAGGCATCCTGGCCGAGTTTCACAAACTTTTCAAAGAGGAACGAGGGTGCTTCAAGGGAGTTGAAGTCAATCTGCAGCTGAAGCCAGACGCCCAACCAAAGTTCATGAAAAGCCGGAAAGTTCCCTATGCACTTCAGCATCTGATCGAAGCACAGTTAGATGACACGATAAAAAGAGACGTCATCGAGCCAATAAACTACAGTGAGTGGGTAACGCGTACAGTCAGCATTCCAAAAGGAGAAAAAGAGGTCCGAATCTGTGGCGACTACAAGCTCACGGTAAATACACAACTTGAAGTGGACCAGTACTCTCTGCCAACAGCCAATGACTTGTTCACTACTTTGAACGGTGGGCAGAAGTTCACAAAGCTGGATCTAAGACACGCCTACGAGCAACTGGTGTTGACTGAGAAGTCTCATTAGTATGTCACCATACACACGCATAAAGGACTCTACAGATACACGCGTCTTTGTTATGGGATCGCCTCCGCCCCTGCTATCTTCCAGAAGCAAATGGAGATACTATTGGGAGGAATTCCAGGTGTCTGCGTGTTCCTGGACGACGTTTTGGTAACTGCAGAGGACGATGCAATGCACTTGGAGAGACTGCACGAAGTACTAACGCGCATGAAGTATTGTGGACTTCGGCTAGCGAAAAAGAAGTGCTTGTTCATGCAAGACAAGGTGGGCTACCTTGGACATACAGTTAGCGGTTCCGGAATGAGCACAATGAGCAAAAATGTACAGGCTGTATAGGAAGCACCGGTTCCCAAGAATGTGAGCGAGCTACGATCATTCCTGTAACTTGTCAACTACTACGGACGTTTTGTGCCCAAGTTGTCTATGATACTAAAGCCGCTCACGCTTCTGCTGCATGAAGATGTGCCATGGAACTGGTCACCAGAGTGCGACAGGAGATTCCAGGAACTCAAGGGAATTTTGAGCAGAGCCCC